TAAAGCAAAGAAGTATTAAAATTGGCCTTCTCTCATTGAGGCTGTTCCTTACTACTGTAGTTTATTATTTATGTGTGTGCTAAAAGCAAGACTCTACAAGGACTCGGGAGACCATGAGAAGTGGAGAAATCATGATGATATAAATTTTGAGCTGCTCAAAAAAAAGTTACGATCTAAATGTTAGGGGAGTTGATAATGACAGTGAGGTTGTTATTTAATGACTCTCTGATCCTCCACATGCAGAAGCATGCTTAAGACCCTGTCGAGTCTGATTTGACAGTGATCACAGCAGGAACCAGACTGGGTGAATGGCAAGATCAGGTGTTAGAGAATGGAAATGAATGAGTTTATGTACTTTTTTCCTTTAGCCCAGACAGTTTTGAGGATTAGCAAATTTCTGTCTGTAAAACGTGTTGGGGTCCTTGGATAGCAGATACTAAATAATTATGACATAGAAGTATTGGTTTTAATGGAAGCTTAAAATGATCTACAGTAACACCAGGGAATGCTCCACATTTGGACGTACTTTGGATTCCTCTCAACCATTTTATTTACTTTGTGCGCAGAACAATCCCCAAGCCTGTCTGGAAAATGAGAACCAGAGCCTGCAAACCATTTTATAAACCCCATCCTGTCCTTTAGGTGTGTCTTCTCAGTCTTTGCAGTACTAACCCAGCACAGACAAAGGCGGATCCTTCTGCAAATAGCACTTTCCTTACCACAAATAAAGAAAGGAAGGGGGGGGGGGCGGGGCGGAGAAGAAAGAAAGGGAAGAAGAGAGGGAGGAAGAAAGGGAGATCGGCAATTCACCTATCTTTACCTCAACTGTGTGAAAAAGGATAGTATGCTTTCTTCTCCTGGGCAAAAAGTTAAATGGTAGGTAGGTAGGTTGGTAGATTGGTCAAGCAAATGATAGATGGATAGTTACTAAAATGTTTCTGAAATATTTAATCAGCCAATATCTGTTTTTGATAAAGACCATCCAGCAGCTCATTTGGCTGCTCTTTGTTTAATAATCAACTCTTTTCCTTGTAGTAACCAGTTACGTCAACCCTGTGAGCAGACCACATGGTCAAATACATATCCATATAGTCTCATCCACGGTCATCTGATTACGAAGAATTTTAACCTTCAGTTAATAGGGAGGAAAAAGTCTAATACATTTATAGCCCTCTTGCCTCAGCCAAATAAGAGAAACCTACTTCTGTTTCAAGGAACTGATCTTATCCCCTCCTGTGTAAGATCCTGTTTAACAGATTACCTCACCAGGCTCCTAACAAAAGCAGCCTGCCTGGCACCTTCTCAGGACAGCTTTATTCTTGGCTTGAAACAGTTCCTGCCGTGACCATTGTCCAGTCAGACTTGACAGAGCCTCGAGTATGCTTCCATGGAGGAATCAGGCAGGCTTTCTCCATGTCTGGGCCAATGCCGGCGCTGAAGGGCGACCTTGGCATCTGCTGAAGCCAGCACTGCAGTTAGCCATTGTCAAGAGCTGTAGAGCTTTTAGGGTTCAAATTGTTACCTTTTCACTAGATTGATAGCAAACTATCCTAAGGAGATATTTTTTTCACATATGGAATTAATTGCATCCTTAGAAAGCATTTGTTATCAAGCATTTCTAATGTATTGGTCAATTTCCCTCACAATTCTTTTGTATCATTTTGGTATTAATAAAAAAAAAAAAATCTTAAAACCAAGTCTGGAATAATGTCCCAGCCTCTGCCCAAGACCCCACTCTGGCCCTCCTCTGACCGTACCCCTCCCATGAAGTGAAGAGTCTATGGGGCCAAGGGGGTAGGCCCAGTTAGAGCCAATTTTTCAGTCATGCTCCTGGTTTCTGGAATACCCCAAGAAACCTCAGATGAGGCCAAGGCTGCTTCCAGGGCCTACGTGGGCCCCTTTCGTAGGTCCGTCTTCTTCGGGCAGACTGGCCAATGGTGTGAACACCCAGGTCTGAGGTATGGCTGCGGGGCAACCGTGTGGAGGGCTATGATGGCGTGCAGCTGCAAGAGAGCTGGGTTCGCACACACGTGCAGAGGAGGCACCGCAGGGAACGGGACAGGGCCAACCACAGAAAGAGAAGGGCCTGGGCTGCAAGCCAGGGGCCAGTGCAGCCCCCACCACCCTGTCCTGACACAGAACTGAAGGCCTCCTTTCTCTCCAGGTCATTATAATCTATATTTATTGATCAAAGAAGGAGAATAGAATCGATCTTATTTAACAATTTGTAGACTGATTTATAGATTTTAAATATTTAGACATCTTACATGGGCCTTCATTTGTACACTTGTCCCTTCCAATTATACACTTATCTCTGTCCATTCCCATTTTTTCTGCCTTTTTTAGTCTCAGAAAAAGGAGTGTCCTCCCTCCTTCTCCAAACTAGAGCCTCTGACTGTGACCCTGATCTCCTTCCCCGCTGCATCCTCTCTGCCGCCTGCAAAATGCAGAGACACCTCTCCCCCAAAGCCCCCTCTAGATGCTGTTCCATTTTTCTTTCTTATCCCACAAACTTTTCACTAATCTTGTCGCCATAGAGGTCGCTGTTGATTCTGAGGCCCAGAGGTCACTAGACACCATTCTCTGGGATGGCTGTGGTTAGTGTAATTCAGCACAGTTGCAAACCACCCCCTGAGACCCTACACACAGATTCCCCACAGCTGTCCCCTTACCCAGCTTCGCCAAGTGCTGTCTCTCCTGTCTTCTCCACTCAGCTGTGTGTCCTTCTTCCACCCTCTGAGGAGGATACTCCCCAGGTTTCAGCCGAAGGGGTCCTCTGCTCTTCTCTATGCATTTGCCCTTGGCAGACATGTTTCCCTCCTGGGGAGGACAGCCACATCTCTGACTCCATGAAATAAATTTCCACTCTGATGCCTCCCCAAATGCACAATTTCAGCATGTTCCACAATGAACCCAACTTGCCTTCTGACTCCCTCTTTTTTGCATAAAAATTATTTCAACGGGAATTTTTCTACTTCTTTTCATTTTAAGTACAATGGTTTCAGTTACAGTATGGGGTTTTTTGTCAGCTAGCTTGGGCTAACCACCATTTATCACATGGTGGGGAAAAATGCATTCCAGCTTCCAAACAGCTTATTTGTAAAAGAATGTAGCCCACATGGGAAAGGCAAGCTTCTTACTGCCCCAGCATGATTGCATCTGTGCAATAAACACACCAGGCACACTCACAGATACTAAAATTCAAAGATGAATAAGATATGGCCTCAGAGAACTCAAGAAGGAACTTAAAAAGGAATAGACATGAAAAGAAATTACTGCATTCCCCTACAGCACCTAGAGTCATGTTTTGCACATGGTAGGTGTTCAAAAGACAGCTGTTGATGGGCGGTCAGTTGGTGAATAGAAAGCAGTAAATCTTAAGCATTTTGTCCCTCAGTGGTATTCCCAATACTCCCGAAAATCTGTTGCCCACACTCAGTTTTCTTTGCAGATGCCCCAGTGGCCCAGATACCCTGAAGTCTATTCTAACTTTCACATCAGCATCATGAAAATTCTTAGAGGGAGATGGGAGGGCAGAAGGGAATTTGGGAGCAAACCCAACAGTTAAGAACCACCTTGCTCCAGTTATACTTGCTTCGAGGTCCCAAACTTCTTTCCAGATTCCATAAAAATGCTGCACCCCACTCTCAGCTCTAGCCTTTTCTCATGTGCATTGAGACAGAGAATTGAAAAGGTATTTCCTAAATTCAAAAAATATATGTCATACACTAAAGTATAAAAGCAGATTATAAAACCCACATGGTGAACGTTATCCATTTCAGTTGAAAGTTCTGTTGATGTAGGGGTGTGTGTGTGTGTGTGTGTGTGTGTGTGTGAATGTACAACCTCTTAGACACACACTGAAAGGAAATAAAAGCCTCAAAACTTATACAACAAAATATTAACAGATGTTATCTTTGAATAATGGGATCATGAATAATTTTTACTTTCTTTTTTGTGCCTTTCTGTCATTTCTATGGTGAATAGATTTCACTTTTGCGTTCAGGAAAAAAAGTCTATGTGTTTTCTATTGCTGTGTGGCACATTATTGCAAACATAGCATCTGAAAGCAATACCCATTTATTAGGTCCTGGATCTGGAGTTTGGGAGTCTGGGAAGGCTCAGCTGGGTTCTCTGCTCAGGATCTCATAAGGCTGGAATCAGAATGTCAGTCAGACTGGGCTTCCTACTTAGAGGCTCTGCTGTCAAGCCCATTTGGATGTTGGCAGAGTTCAGTTCCTTGGTATTGTAGGATTGAGGTCCCTGTTTCCTTGCTGGCTATCAGCCAGGGTCATTCCTGGATGCCACTCTCAGAGCCTCACCCCATCATCGCCCCCCATCTCAGCCACAGATAATTCTCACATGTCACATCCCCCCATACTTCAAGTCTCTCTGTCTTTCCCTTCTGCTACCAGCCGGAAAAACTCTGCTTTTTAGGGCTTATATAATTAAATTAGGCCCACCCAGATAATCTCCCTTTTTGATGAACTCAAAGTCGATTGATTAGCAGCCTAAATTACATCTGCAAAACCCCCTTTGCCACATAACTTAAATAATCACAAGCAACATCCTATCATATTCACAGGTCCTGCCCACACTTAAGGGGAGAGGCTTATGCAAGCTGTGTATACCGGGGGGCAGGAATCTTGGGGGCCACTTTGGAATTCTGACTACCACTGTTTGTGTGTGTGTGTGTGTGTGTGTGTGTGTGTGATTTATTTGAACTCTCCCCTGAGAGTTAAGAATGAAATTCTTAGTAGCCCCCCGAAGTCCTTTCTACCTCCTGCTGGGGCAGAAATCACATAAGAGGATGGACCAGAAGTGATGGAACCTGGAGTTTGCCTTTGTTGATAAACACACATCTGTCTTTCTGTTCTTCTCCATGGCATTCCGCTGAGTACGTCTGCATAGTAGCAGCCCAAAAAGTTGGAGGCTTATAGGTTTGATGACAGTTCTTTAGTGGACAGAGGCTTCTAACTCTCTGATTCTCTCGTCTGTAGTATGACATCGTTGGACACTCTGGAGATGGCTACAGCATTGGTCTAGTTCCACTTAACAAAATCCCCAAGGACAATAAGCAAAGACTAGAAATTCTGAAGGTAAATACAATAAATCACCTCTCTATTGTGAAAACTTCAACCAGATGATGTGAAGTATCTTCCGATCACTGAAAAGATTCACTGAAGCAGCAGGAGTTACAGGAAAGAAAAAGACTCTGTTTTACAGGCATTCAAGCATTAAACTGGGAAAACGTTTTACTCATCATGCCTAAAATCCTTTTCCCCACTCTACAAATTTTAAAGATTTTTTATTTATTTATTTATATTTTGACAGAGAGAGAGACAGCGAGAGAGGGAACACAAGCGGGGGGGGTGGGAGAGGGAGAAGCAGGCTCTCCGCCGAGCAGGGAGCCCGATGCGGGGGCTCGATCCCAGGACCCTGGGATCATGACCTGAGCCGAAGGCAGACGCTTAACGACTGAGCCACCCAGGCGCCCTCTACTCTACAAATTTTAAACTTTGTTCCCTACATATTTTCAGAGTACTCAGGATTATATCTGGATTCTACAGCCTGGGTCCCCTCCTGTATCCTATACAGTTCTTCTTAGCCCCTACACATTTCAGTAAAAGAAAAAGAATTACCCCTTTTAGAGTACTCTCCAACCCCAATTTTATGTCCTTAGTATTTTCTAATGATAAATTCAATTTCACATACTTAGATCTACAGTAGAAACACACACACACCATGAGCTTAAAGTAAATTTCCTCCATAGCTGTTGTTGTAAGTACAGTGTTTAGTGTTACAACTTTATTAGAAATTCAACCCATTCCTTACTTTTCTCCTGTGTGTGTATATTCACAGGTCTTGCCCACATTTAAGGGGAAAGGATTATGCAGTCTGTGTATACCAGGGGGCAGGAATCTTAGAGACCACCTTGGAATTCTGCCTACTACTCTGTGTGTGTGTGTGTGTGTGTGTGTGAGATGCCAAGTTTTATGTTTTCTTAGATTTTCTCACTTTAAATGGCAGCTCGAGTTTCAAAAGTCAGTGCGGCTGGGAGAGTTTGGGAACATTTCCTGTTTCTAACAAAAGTCTTAACCACATACAAATATCACTGTGTACTGTTGTCACTCTAAGGTGCAAATTAAATAGAACTCACGTACAGATTTCCTGTTCAAGTGTAAGAATTGGTATTTGTGCATTCTCATGGTCAGTAGAAATATCATGATGTTTGTTTACAACGTTTCTCACCCGCGGCTTCTGTGCAACATCTCTGCTTCCCAGACAATGCATGCCCATGCTCAGTTCTGCATGAGTGGGGACCACACGTTAGAGGGGACGGAACACGCCATCAAGGAGATTGTCAAAGAAGAAGCTGACGAGTACTTTGTCATCGTCTTAAGTGATGCAAACCTGTCACGATATGGAATACATCCTGCCAAGTTTGCCCAAATCCTGACAAGTAACCCTCAAGTAAATGCTTTTGCCATTTTCATTGGATCTTTAGGTGATCAAGCAACCAGGTAAGTGTCACCTCAGGATACAGCAAAGGACAACTATAGAGATGCTTGAGTGCCTGCCTAACACATGCCATTTCATGGGACTGGCTCCTGAGGGGCAGTGGGGAGAAGAAAGAAGAGTAGCCAGCAGATCTGCCACCCTCAAGGAGCTGGTATGATAGTCTGGTTGAGAGGATATAATCCCCTAGTTTATGTTTGGATGAGCAATAATAGTTTTAAATTAATTATTTTTCATCTTATATTTAATCCAACAATAGAATAATTAACAAATTGATTTGTCCACTAATAAATTGGGCAGTATTTTATATATTTTGCACTTAAGATCAAGGTCTCAAGCTCAGTTCTAATCAGTTCAATTACTTTGAATACGATTTCATGTTCAAATCGTATTCAAAGTAGCAAACATCAAAGTAGCAAACTTTTCCTAGTATAAGAGATTGTGTATATGTATGTGTGTGTCTATAAAATGTGTATATAAATAATATATAAAATGTGTATATGTATGTATAGTGTATATCTGTATACAGACAGAGAGAGACATGGCACACAGGGATAATATATGGATATCTATCTATCTATCTTAGATATCCCCCCTTATATGTGTATATATCCCTTCTCACTGGGGAGACAGGCAGGTGAAACATTGGGAGACAATGTAAGACAGAATATACAGTAAGATGCTACACTGAACATGTTGAATAATCAGTAGAGAAGTTTATGGTAAGATAACAAATACCATTGTGGATGAACTAAAAGGAGAGATCTGGATTTGATTTCTCAAACACACTAACATTTATCTTTTTGAGTTATAAACAGAAAGAACTTGGGATTTTTCTCTGCTTGAAATATTTGTATGAAGCAGAAAACACAAATGAAAGTATATCTCCCCTACCCCCGAAAAATAACATTCCTGCCCAGAACACATACCTTTTTGCCATTCCTGTCTTTTACTTGTCTGTCACACTCTGAAATACAGAGTCCTGTATAGACTAGGAAATGTTTTAGCCTCCAGAGAGCTGGCATCTTTTTCTATTCCCTTCGCCTTGCTGCAGGATTGCAGAGTAAGGTTAAGAACTGCCTTAGGGGGTGCCTGGCTGGCTCAGTCAGTTAAGCGTCTGCCTTTGGCTCAGGTCATGATCCCAGGGTCCTGGGATCGAGCCCCGCATCGGGCTCCCTGCTCAGCGGGAAGCCTGCTTCTCCCTCTCCCACTCCCCCTGCTTGTGTTTCCTCTCTAGCTGTCTCTCTCTGTCAAATAAATAAATAAAATCTTAAAAAAAGAAACAAAACTGCCTTTAGTATCATGTCGTTACAGTCACTTCATTACAACTGACTGCATTTTTCTCAGTTTTATATTTTTGCCTCTTCTAGAACTTCCATGTCCTCAAATGCAAACCATGCTTTTTTCTACCCAGATTTCCTTCAGGACCAGCCCAATGTTAAGCAGACAGCAAGTTCAACAAATACTGGTTGAGCTGAAATAGCTATTTTGTCTTTCTAGTGAACAGATCCTGTTTGAATACTTAAGAAAGTACAATAATACCCTTGTGGTTTCCTAGGGAAATGGTCCAACATCCACTGGCAAAAGATATGTTGCAGAATTAGCTGGTCTACCAGGCATGCCAAATGTATGATACTACACAGGATGGTTGACTTTTATTAAATGTCATTCCAAAACCAAACTTTGTTGGCACAGTGAAAGGAGGCGTTCTTTTGGATAGAACTGTGTCTTGTACTTTCATTGCTTTCAAAATGGCCCTTTGTTCCAGATGATAAATGGCCATTTTAAAAAAATTATCCTAAGTCTATATAAGCTTGGTGTCATCAAAGTTGCAACTGGGTAAGTCAGATTGCCCTTCACGTTGTATGACGTGAGGGGAAAAAAATGAGAGAGAGAGAAAGGGAAAGAAAGAAAGAACCACCTGCGGTTTGGCCGGGCAACATTTTTCGGGGCCTGTGTTCTAAGGCAGGGAAAGCACTTAGAAGCACAGGGTGAGGCCAACACATTTGCTGGATCCAGGTGAGCTAATCCCAGATTTGTCCCTAGGGCTCTGTTCTGCCAAGGGAATACCGGGAAATGACAGTAATAAAAGGAAGGAAATTTCTTCTTTTCAAATTAACTGATTTTCTCACTGAAAAGACCTTACTTTTGGTTCACTGCTCTCAGTGTGCCTCTCTCTGTTCTGTGGCCCGTCCAAGCCTTTCATTGCCTGCTGACAGCCCATTCCCTTGCAGGCAGGGGCAAGGTATTAGAAAGTAAACACTTCCTTTGGATGCTGTGGTTTTCGGGGGCAGGAGGTAGCTCCCATTTGCAATGGTAATTTTCTTTCTCTTTCCATCCGGGCAGGCTTCAGAGAACTTTACCAGCTGGCCGGTCCTTCGTTGCCATGGATACCAAGGACATCCCCCAGATTTTACAACAGATCTTCACCTCCACCATGCTGTCCACTGTATAGGACGGGCCCTTCTTCACCCTGCTGACCCTGGGACGTGAAATAAGATAGGCATAAAGAGTCCCCCAAAGAAAAGACGACATCTATAAAGTGAACCTGCGCAGTGACTGAAGGATTCTGGCATTCCTGGCGCTTCCTGGGCTCACTCAGGGATCAGAATTCAGGAAAGCAGCCGGAGGGAGCTTGCACGTGGAAATCTACCACCAGTGATGGGTTCGCAGGGAAGCGAGCTGACCTGCGTTTTATGAAAGGTCAGGGGTCAAGGAAGGCGGTTTGAGAACTATGGTGCTTGGTTTGTATCCAGAAACCTGAGGAAGAAAGAATTCCTTGCTTTTGCCTTAACGCAACGTCTGGTCACCTGAGGTAACAGAAGTGATTCTGATGCCATGTTCTGTCATTGAGATACAAGCCCGTGTAAGCTCACCCAACCTGCTCCTGCCCAGTAATTATTTTTATTTTCTCCTCCACCCTTGATCGCCTGGCAAACAATGATTTTTATAGTATTTAACCCACTACAAAGCCTCCTAACAGCAGTATTTTATAAAAGGTTAGATTTTTTTTCAATAATTCCATTTTCTTGGCCAAAGCCAAAAGGAATCAGAAGATCCCTGCATCGCTTCCTTTCCCATTTGACTTTTTAAAAGACTCTTTAAATAATGAGGAGCAAACGTCCTATTTCCATGCTGCCAACGTGGAAGGATAAAGGCTGTCTTGCCTTGAACTTCCTGTGTCGTCTTGTTCCTCCAGTACTTCTCACAAGTTTCACATATTTCGGTGTCCGAAGTGTAATGCTTGAAATAACAAACACTTATGGTTTTACTTAAAGCAAAGTAAAAACAAGGCAGTATGTTTGAATTGAATGGGAACTGGAGATTTCTTTAGCTGTTAAAAAAAAAAAACACAACTCTTTTTTTCAAGATGCATTCTTTTTTCTTTCAAAGTGCACCTTATTCCCACCTACCCTTAGGCTGACCTTTATTTATCAACAGGTCCGGTGTCACTTTGTTTAAAATCAAATGCCACAGCCAGAGTCAGGCTGCGTTCAACCACGTAAGAAGCTCCTCTCCACCAGTGATGCAAAGTCAAAATTGCGGGGAGCACCAGTGGATGTGTACTTTCTTGTCACGAGTTGGAGGAATTAGTCTTGTTAATAATATTACCTTACTTGCCCATAGAGCCTGAAATTGTACTGATTCATTTCATTTTAATCCATTATAGGAAAGAAAACAGCCATTTGTTCCTCCACCCCAACTCCCTATCAACTGTCAAAGAAATAAAGCAATCCGATTCCCAGTGCTGTCCTGTCCAATGAGTTCACATGGCTCGTCTCGTTTCTCCAGCCAGATGCTTGCTCTGCGCTCTGCGTATTGAATCAGCCAGTGATGCAGTTTCAATCCAATAAGTACCTTCAAAACTGTATCCGAATTAGCAACAGTAATAATAATAACAGCAACAACCACTAGCATTTACTGAGTACTTACAACATCCCAGGTATGCGACGTGACTTCAGGCATCGTTCCATTCCACCCTCACAACGATGCATGTAAAACAGGTATCTCTTGCCTCATTTTACAGATAAGTCACTTTCTGAAAACTGGAAAATTGACCATTGTCCTTTTAACATCCTCCTTGACAAATAAGGAAATTGAGGCGTAGGAAAGTTCAAGAAAACAGGCCACACTCACAGTCAGGTGGGGGCCGAGCGGGGCTACGCTGGCCCCCTTCATGGATTATTCTTACGGAAGGCGAGCTCTTGCCGTCTTGGCTCCTTTGTCTTCTTGCAGCCTGACCACGGTTTGGGGAGCCTTCTTCCTCTCCCTGGGACCTCTCCCTGCACACACCCGGGCACTCAGAGGAGCGTGTGGGGACCCAGGACAGGAGCCACTGCGGGAGGGACACCTCTCACGGGCCTTCGTGGGCTCAGCGACAGCTTAACCCCTGGCGTGCCCCCTCTGCGGGAGGGTCAAAGCCCCCAAATGCTTCGCCCAGAATCCAAGAGTCAGTAACAGAATGGCCTTCTAACAAATCCTGCCTGTGCCCTGACTACCTGAGTGAGCAGAAGCCATTTTTTTTTAACATGGGAAGAATGTTCTCATTAATTCAATTTCCCTTTCCCCACTGGCCAGACATCCTTGCAATTGTTATTTAAAAAACACACACACACACAAAAACATGTAACTCCTGACTTATTTGTAAAAGGGAAAGATGATGGGGGAGAGGAGCGGAGAGAGGGGAGCTGAGGTTATTTTCACTTCTTGGAATACCTAAGAAGTTTGTGCCTTTATTATTAAATGTACTTAATTATAGGCCACTCCAAACTGTTCCCAGGCCCCCCAGGGCCAAGACATTATAATAAATGCATTGTTTGCCTCAGGGGGGGGTTCCACTGAAAGGCCTCTAAACCAGCTCTTCCCGTAGTGAGCCCGTGTAGTGCTGAGAAGGTTCATTGTGACCCATGAGCACGGGGAGGAATGAAGCCTATGAATGGCCGCCATCTATGTGTTGTGTATACCCCCCGGGAGTCTTTTGTGTGCCCCAGCAAGATGACCTCATCACACATGGGGCCCCTCCAGCGAGCCCAGCCACGAGGTGTGGATCTGAGCGGGACTACTCGAGCCTGTCACGTGTTTGGAATGAATCATTTCATTCTTTCCTGTGAACTGTCAGAGGAGGAGAAATCCATCAATGCCAGCAGGATTTTCTCTGAACGAACTCGAGGGCTTTGAAAGCCATTTAGAAGTAGCTCTCCATGGACGGCATCATCAGTGTTCCTGAACGGCCAGCTCCAGAGGCTTCGACCCTCCCTCCACCTGGCTCCTTCCCGTGCCTGTCTGCTCAGCCAGAACTAAATTCCTCCGCGAAAGGAGCAGAGAGGTGTGGGGCTGGGGCAACAGGAGGGTGGCCGCCTGTGTGTCCTCTTTCCATTACGGCCCAACAGTCGCAGTTATGAGAGAGATTCCACAAGTTCTAAGCCAATATCTCCAGCCTGGACAACTTTTTTTCTGGAATCGCATCAAAGAATAGTCACCTGTCCGTTGGTATTTAGCAAATTGTACCTTACTTTTTCAGCTTAGGAAATAAAATGTCCACTTTCAAAAAAATTATTCCAATGGTAACATATCTGGCTTTTTAAAATACTTTGATGAAGAGTCTAATTTGCTCCCACTTTCTGGCCAGAGTATTATCATAAAGTTCTGACCATTGCCTTTCCTTTACCTTTCTTAGATTTGCTGCAACGAAAGTACTACAGGTAATGGAAAGGAATTCCAGTGTTCGATCTTGTGGTGGGAGAATTTATAAACTCTAAGTAGAATTACTCAGTAGAAAGAAAGTTCTAGATGCTGCTGTGATGTGTGAACTTGGGCTCGTCACTTCTGGGTCTCAGTTGCTTCATCTATTTAAAATTAATTTAAATTTAAAAAGTTGAACCAAATTATCTCTAACACTACACTTCCTGTTTCTAGATCTCATAAAGCCAATTGACTCTCTGCCTCACACATCTTAGGAGAACCACATCATCTCAGTGTGTTTTTGCCTCCAGAACCCCACAAACAGCCCCTACTAAACAGAGGATTTGGGCACCTAAACCCATTACCCCGACAATATAGTGTTACTGACAGAATATGCAATTCTAAAAGCTACAAAAACATCATTAGATTTGGACAAGCAGGGTTTTCCCCCATCAGCTGGACAGATACTTCTGTTGGACAGTCATTCACAAGATTTCTGCCCATTGTCTCTTACTTTGCATTTTGCTGCCTTAAAATAGAACTCCCTATCTGCTGATCTGCACAGTGGGATCAAAAAGACCAGGAATTGGAAAACTACTGGGTGCCCGGAGCTGCCCTTAGTGCCGCAAGCCGAACAATGCGCAATTGTGTGTTGGTGGGGGGGGGTTCATTGTTAAATCCTGTAAACAAAAATCTCCTCCAGAGGAGAAAAAATGCTTGCCAAGCAGTCCTCCCCAGTTGAAAATGATCTGACACTCTTTTTTGACTCCGAGCGCCGTCTGGGGCTTGCACCTTCCAACAGAGGCGGTGTCTGTGCTCGCGGCTTTGGAATGCCGAAGTCACATAATCTCAAAATCGAGTGGCGCTTGTGGTATTTGGCCACTCGGAGCAAAGGATAACACTCTTCTAAGGTGGTTTGGATCCAGAGTGTGGCGAGAACGTCCTGTTCAGCTCGAAGAAATCTCATCAGGGGACACGTGAGCTCTAAGGAACATCGGCCCCACGCACGGTCCTCTCCCCCAGGCAGGCGCCAGACTCACCTTGGGGCTCCTCTCTTCTCGGAGGCTTTGTGAAAGTGCTTTCTCTTTCCCTGAAAAAGCAATCCGTGTTGGCCAATCAACTCTGACTCCAGAGATGGTGGGTGTGAGCCCAGAGGAGTTTCAGAGTATCAGGATTTCTTAAAATTCCGTGCAACTCTGAAGCCTTAGAAACAGTAGCGAGAGTTTGACCTGGAAAGGGAAGGGGGAACTGTCAGTCTGAACATCCCGCAGCAGGTTTGTCTCTTTATGCTGGCCAGACTGGGGCAAGCAAATAATGAGCCTGTCAAGAGTACTCTGGGTAATTGGTCTCATGATGCCATACATGAAGCCTTATTAGTTGAAATGAAGAAAAATAAGTATGTTTACTCAGACAGGACATTAAGGTTGGGTTTTTAAGTGCAATATATTTATATTAATAAATACTGATGCTAATTTAACGAGACTGAGCATTTCTTCATTTCAACACTAATTAAGACGTGGTTTTTGTTTGTTTGTTTGTTTGTTTTATCACTGGGGCTCCAGGAATAGAGTGAGTCTTAACAAAGCTAATGGGTCCATTTCCTTCTACCAGATATTTTCTGACCCATATAAAATTCAGCCCTGAAAACACTGGCCCAGAACAGAGTATGTGCAGGCCCTGTGGAAAGCAAATGGCAGCCCTGGGGAAGCAGCCTGTTGACCAGCCTTGGCCTTGGCTCCTGAGGCCGGGGGGGAGGGGAGGGGCGGCTGAGGGAGCGTCCCACAGAGCCCAGGGCTGGTGAGGAACCCGAGGGTTTCTGCAACATGTCAGGATGCTCAGATACACACAAAAAATAAAGAGGGCAGATGACACGGGAAACCCGGGAAGGTTCCGGGCTTAGTTAACCAACACATGGTCTAGGAAATATACCTGTTTATTTTGCAGTTGACAAAGAAGGGATTTTTACCTGAAAAGTGTGCTTTGGGGCCTCGGATGTTTTTGAATGACTATTTCCAACGCTGATAGAATATGCATGTCCATACATTGCCGGCTCAAGAACAGAGATCTGCTATTCAATATACAGTGCCCAAACCAAAGAATCTCTTTCCCTCTCTGACATCTCGGTGGAGCCTGGAAGAAATGGGAACACTCTCTGCAGAGGTGGGAGTTTGTGGCAGTTCCACAAGACGGCCTGAGGCCTGAGCGCAGACAGTCACTTGGCTGGAATACAGCTCCACACAGCTGGCCTGGCTCCTCGCCCCTAACATCTGAGGTCTGTCTTTAGAGTGGCATTTCCCGGAGAGAGGGGCTTCTCTTTTAAAATACAAATAGCCCTGACAGGCTATCCATCACGCTCATCTTGGTTTGAATTCCTTCATTCACACGCTTTCCTCCAGGCCCCAGCTGAGATGAAGGTTCCAGTGAGGAAGTAGAAGGGGGTGGGGGTGCTTGCAGCTTGGAGCGTCACCCAAGCCGGGGACCGGGCCGGGGACAGAGCGTGCGGGCACGAGACGAGGGCTCACTGGGGGTGACAGTCTTCCTGGGGCTGCATATGTGGTCTCTCCATCCTCTCGAGAGCACACGGTGCAGGCTTTGTCAGGTGTGGATGGGCGGTGGCTTGCTTCTCTGCAGCCCTGCTTTTTTAGAGACACCCAGATTTCCACTTGCATTTTGCCGTCCTGCTTAGGGAAGCTCCACCTTTCTGGCATCTGGCTTGCAAAGTCAGGCGCAGGGCGCACATCAGGGAGTTGATTCCCTAGCAAGGGCAAGGCGCTTGAACATTGGGCACCTGCCCCACAACACTTGGGCCATGTCTCTGGTGAAGCCAACCAATCATTTTTTTTTTCAGTTTGCCAAGAGAACTTTTACCCCGCACTATGCGCTTTTCCAAAGAGAATTTACAACCCTGAGAGGCCACACCCTTCTTGGAAGACACTTGCCTCCCCTGCAGAAGCAGGGCTGGGCCACACCCGTGGGACGCAGGCACCGCAAGCCATGGGGAGGTTCCTGAGGAAGGAGCCGTGGAATTCCTGAGTTCCATCCTGGTGAGGACTGGAATGAGATC